CATTCATATACTTGTAAGTGCTCCTACTTTGACGATGAAAGTTACAAATATAGTTTCCCGGTAATTTTATATACTTGTACACATACAGTTTCTCGAGAATTTTATATGTAGTACGTACTGTTGTTTTCTGGTTAACGATGAAAATTGTCCTACAATATTTGGAAATTCTAGAAAATTCCGCAGGATACATTTTTATAATTACTTTCCAATTATAAAAGCTTGCCAATTATAAATACTGCCTTATATAGAGTAGCAACTTTTTTAAAAAAAATCCCGTTGATTTGAGGCAAACAATTACTCTAATGATTTAATTAGTTGACAAAAAAGATCAAAACGGAGCCGGTCGTTTAGGAAAAAATCGTCTATAGTTAGTTGAGAGATTTTTCATCCAGCGCGAGAATGACTCGTGTCCATGTGCCCGCCTATAAGTAGCCGCGTGTAGCCAAGCTTGAAAGTTTTTGGCCTGGCCCCCCATACGTCTCCTCTACCAATCCAATTCCCCCTACCCAACCCTCACGAAGCTCGGAGCTCAACCTCATGGCCATGGCCTCAAGCTCTGCTCCTGCAAATCCTCCCTCGACCTCTTGGCCACGGCACCCCTCTCAGCCTCTTGGCCTCGTGCCAACCCCCTCTCAGCCCCATGGCCTTGCTCTGAACCCCTCATAACAGCTCCTGCCAATCCCCTCCTCGATTTGGTTCATAGGCTCAAGGGAAAAGGGTAAGGCCATCTCTTATTTTTCTTCACATATAATATATGCAATTCGTGTTGTTCTGTTTCGGATTCATCCAACTGCGCTCACAAATTTCATGTATGGATATAACCACAGGTATTCTTCAGGAGAGGAGAACATCATAGGTTGGTTCTCTTCTTTGTGCTAGTAATTCTTCAATCTCTTGCACTTCTTCTCTACAAATACATCATCATCCAGTCCTCTTTCCTACACGAAAAATTGATCGAATCCTTTCATCTAATCCTACAGTACATGTGAATGAAGAACCAATCCAAGCCCCCTCTCATACCAGGCTCGCCGGATGGATCAGATCGACCGAGCCCGAAGCAAACGAATGGACCGGTCCATCGAACCCAGTCTATCGGCGGCGCAACCCGAAGCACCGGACCCGAGCAACCGCGGTACGGCGCATACTTAAGCCGCCACCCCGTGCGCCCGCCGCAACCTTATCCTCCTCCCTCCGAACCTGAAACCCTAGCGGTCGCACCCCCATCCCCCGCCCCCGCCCCCGCCGTTGAGCAACTCCGGCGAGATGACGGGAGGGTAAGCCGCATCTGTTTCTCCTAGTCGTCTATGGATCCCTCGATCGATGCGTCGTCTTCCATTCCGATTTGTTTCCTGTTCTAGTAGATCTCACGCTGCCCGTTTCGTTGCATTTCTGAGCTCAGGGGAGAGGAGGACGGCGAGCCAGGGCATAAGACGGTGCTCTTCACCAAGGGGGAGGACACCGGCGGCGACCTCGCCCGCGGCTCCTCCAAGGCCGCAGGCGGCGACTCCTCCAAGGCCGCGGGCGCCGACCTCGCCCGCGACTCCTTCAAGGCCGCAGGCGGCGACCACGCCCACGACTCCTCCAAGGCCGCGGGCGGCGACTCCTCCAAGGCCGCGGGCGGCGACCGCGTCCCCGACTCCTCCAAGGCCGCTGGCGGCGACCGCGTCCCCGGCTCCTCCAAGGCCGCTGGCGGCGACCGCGTCCCCGACTCCTCCAAGGCCGCGGGCGGCGACCGCGTCCCCGACTCCTCCAAGGCCACTGGCGGCGACCGCGTTCCCGACTCCTCCAAGGACACCGTTGGCGACGACTCCCGCGTTCGCCTCAAGTGCACAACCGGCTACTCTCTGAAGCGCACCAGCGACTCTCTGAAAGGGCCCAGCGATGGATTCATTCTCTCAGACGAGGAAGTGTATGCCTACCTATTCTCCCCAATCTGTTCTCCCCAATTATTTAGATCAGCAGTTCCTAAGATGAGACCCTTTCTACTACCTTATCAGGTCACATGCAGAGTATTTAACCCATTCATTGATTCATGATATCGATGGATTGCTCAACAAAATGGAGACACTCAAAAGAGCTATGTAAGTCTCTTCAATATGAAGTTTGATTTCTGCGCTTGCAGTCCTTGTGTGTTATTTTCTCATCTGTACTGCTGGTGCTTACATTCCTTGTTTCCTATCTTTTCAGGTGCTGTGCTGGATGTGAGGAGGAAGTTTTGCCACTGAAGCGCTCCAAGTAAGTCCACGAATCTGCCTGTTATCTGACTGCCTGCACCTACAAGATGTTGTTCCAATCGAATGTTTGCAATTTGTATTAACTTTATATGCTTGTTATCTCCCCCTGCAGTTACAAGATGTTGCCTGCTTGACTGCTTGTTCCACCAGTTAGGATAGGAAGTGGTTGTTCCACCCATTGTGATCTGACATGCTGAACTTAATTGCTTCTGCATCATTGCTTTTGAGTGTTAGCCATCATTCCAGTAATAATGTTATCTCATTTATTGGTTCTCCCTCCACATAGAAATGCTTCTGATCCTCTGGAATTTGTTAGTTCAAATAACAAGATATTTAGTGCACTATTTGTGAAATGGTTAGTTATTCAAATGTATAACCATTTTTTTTGGATTAACTCGGTTAGTAATCCAGTTACTTACCTTTGCTTTTTCTGTGTACAATATACTAATTGCTGTTTTAATCATCACAAGCTTGCCATAAGTAACCATAACTACAAGTATGTATTGTGAGACGTATTTTATCCTGTTCTGTTCCTTCATATGCTGTTGTTCTGTACAATATGCTGATTGATTCTTTTTTGTCATGTGCTGTCGATGTCTACAATCTGCTAATTGTTGTTTTAATCATTTTGAGCCTGACAGAACTGCAAGAATGTTTAGTGAGACATAGTTAATATTTTTATTTATCCCGGCGTGATCCTTAGTGTGCTGTTGCTGCTTACAATTGGTTGATTGTCGTTTAGAGTATCATGAGTCTGTCACGAGTAACTTTGTTGCCTTCCAATATGTGGGCGTGCATGTTGATCTGATTGCTTTATCTTGCATCTCATATTGTTGATGATGTTGAGGCTGTATCCCTCAAGTCCAAAAGAAGCTTTAGAAGTTCAGGACGTATCTGAACATATATTGAAGCGTAATGAACTTAATTGCAATCTCTACATAATGAACTTAGCTGCTACATCATTGCTTTGAGTTCTTAACCACCTCCTTAGCTGCTCCTCCTATCTTTTGAGTTCCAGCGATAATGTTGTCTCATTTAATGGTTGTGCCTCCTCTTAGAAATGCTTCTTCTCTGATACAAGTAGAAACACAAGTGGTAAAATTTGAAGGCTATTCAGGAAAACATTAATCTCGTCAGTGATACTTTGTCTGCCCATTTCTCTTTCATTAGTATATTTATGCATTTGCTATTGGTATTAGATGTATATGATCATGTGGAATTTGTTAGTTGAAATAACAAGCTATTTAGCATGCTAATTGTGATATGATTAATTATTCAAATTTATAAGCAGAATTTTTGGGTTAACTCGGTTAATCATCCAGTTTCTGTACAATACACTGATTGTTGTTTTAATCATTGCAAACCTGTCATAACTAACCTGTAACTGCAAGTATGGATTGTGAGAAAGGTTTTTGAGTCGACTAGTCAAGGGGGTCAAGGGGTTTGAGTCAACCCTGTCTGTGTGACTCGTCGACTAGTCGCGCGACTCAAAACCAGTGATTGTGAAACATGTTTTATCCTGTTTTGTTCCTTCATGTGCTGCTGTCGTGTATATTGTGCTGATTGTTTCTATTTCATCATGCGCTGTTTGTGCTATCTGCTCTTTGGTGTTTTAATCACTTCAAGCCTGTCAAATCTAACTGCAAGTATGTATAGTGATACATATTTTTATCCCGGTGTGTTCCTTTTTGTGCTGTTGTTGTGTACTATTGGCTGATCTATAATCAATCAGTCTGTCATAAGTGTTCCAAGTGAGATTAATTCATCTGCTTTCGTCCAAGTGTTTCCATGCTTGTTGTGTTGCAACATAATATATTGCTTGTTTATAATCATATGCCTGCCATCTGTAACTCCCAAGATGTTGCCTGTAATCTGCAACTTTTCTGAATGTGTTGGTGCTTGTTCCACCAAGTGTGCGTCTGTAGCTAATATAGGAGGAACACAACCTTAGTTTTTTCCTGGCTAATTTAGTTTGTTGATGAGTGAAACAATGTATCCATTATTTTCTTAACTAATAGCTCTCAGTTTTATCCTTTTTTATGAAATCTGTGGTCTTGTGTACTAAGTAGATACCTTTTGTGACACTTCTGTAAACTGCGCATAATGAACTTAATTCCTTCTACATCGTTTAGTTCTTAACAACTTACCTACCTGCTGCTCCTAATTTTTGAATTCCATAATGTTTTTACATGAATGGTTCTTCCTCCAGTTTTTTCTCTTGGGGAAACCATAAAGTTAATCAATCTCCTTTATGGCCCTTTTAACTGTTAAATTGCATGTTTATTTTGCAGAATGTTCAAGAGTGGAATGTGTTATGTATCTTCATCCTATTGTGTCCTTCCTGTGCTATTGTAGTGTATCATATGCTGATTGTAGTTTTAATCATCACAAGCCTGTCATCAGTAACTGCATATGTTGATTGTGAGATGTATCTTTATCCTGTTGATTTCCTAATTGTGTTTTTGTTATCTACAACCTGCTGATTGTTGTTTTTAGTCATCACAAATCTGTCATAAGTAACTCCTGGTTATTGCCTTCCAACGTGTGCATGTCGATCTGATGGCTTTATCTTTCATCTCATAGGGCTGAGGGAGCATCCATGACGGCTAGCCATCTTGAGGTGGTTTCCCCGAGGTCCAAAAGGAACCTGGAAGATGAGGATCAATCTGAACAGATTTTAAAACGTTCCAAGTAAGGAATATTTTTTCTTGGTTTGGATGTTTCCTTATTATAGTTGTCAGTTTTGACTTGCTACAAATAGGGAACATGGAAGTTTGCTTCAAGAAGTTCATTCATTGCTTTGAAATTGTCAGTTTTACTAGCTACTGCAATCTGTCTTTCTCTCTTATGTGTAATGATTTTCTTAGGTATGACAGTCCTATTGTTGCCGAATCACCATGGGAATCATCTGGCCTGATAGTTTCCTTGAGAAGCGTAATGCGACGAGGGAAAGACTTGCATCTGGAGAGGCGTGATGTTAGGCTTGAGAAGCGGGAGCTTCGGTTGGAGAACCGTGAGGCTTGGCTGGCGAATCGTGAGGTTAGGTTGGAAAAGCGCGAGCGTCGCTTGGATCGCTATGAGAATCAGAAAGATCAGAGTTTGGAGCAGCGGAAGGCGGATTTTGATAAAAACTGGGAGGGGTATCAGAATTGGTTGCTTTATAAAGCTGCCCTAGAGGACGCCCCCTCTGCTTCCAAAGTGGATGGCCCCTCTCCTGCCGCAGAGAAGGTCTCTGCTCCTGCCCCAAAGACCTCAGCTCCTATAGCTGCTCCTGCCCCGGGGAATCAAACTCCTGGCTCATTGAACAGAGTTGCGGACGCTGTCAAGACTGGAGTCACCACCGTCACTGAGAGTCTGGAAAGTGCCGACAAAATGACCACGGTAAGTAACCACTCTGCTTACTACATTCTTGTGTGCAGCCATTGTATTGTTCTTGATGCTATTTCCATGTCTAAAGCTGCTGGAGAAGGTTGTGGCTGCTCCGACAAGAGTGCAGGACCTAAGGAAAAGCTATGAAGAAAACAAAGCAATTGTCTCTGCAATGAGGAAAAGCTACGAGGATAACACGGAAGTTGGCTCCTCCTTCAAGAGTGTTGTTGCGGGTGTCGTGACCAGCAGCCTGTTGCTTGCAAGGCAAGCTTTGAAGGATTTGGTACGGGGAGGTGGAGGAGATGGTGATGCCGAGTGATACTTGCGCAAGTTGTCTGGATCCACCGATGTTTCAAATGACGGTGATTGTCCGCTGTGAGTGGATACGAAGTTTTGTTGTCGTATGTTGCTGTTGCTTTTGAAACAGATGTGCCCTTCCAGAATTGTTTCATTGATCTTACGATAGTTGCTTGCCGAATTGATGTTTATTCCTTGTTTCACGCTCTAATGTGTATATACATGCTTCTTTTACTTGATAATCCATTTTGGTGATGGTGATTCTTAATATTGTTTTAATTTTAGCGACAGCAAACTGTTTGATTGCGTTGACAGCTTTACTCTGCAAGATAATTTGCCTGGCCAGACAGAGTGATACAGGAAGCTTACTCTGTACCTTGAGACAGATTTGCTTGGCCGTTGTGAAACCTGAAGCTACCCTCTGCTCTGAATCAAACTGATATGTAACTAAAAATAAGCTATATAATTTTTTTATTGATCTTGTATAAGCAGTGTTATGTTTTCTGTTATACGGTGCGAATGAGTTTCTCTTTGATCAGAAAGGAGGCACGGCCATCCGTATCCGGCGGGAAATCCATCCGATCAACCCAGCGATTACAGCTCCAGCAAATGAGACCAAAGTCGATCCTATAGCACATCTAGGGAGTGCGGCCACCGAGTATGTGCTACGCTGCTCCGAGGCAGTTTGGTACGTTGGATCGGACTGCAGGGAACAGGATTTAATAGGCTCACCTCCTTTCTACAGAATATACAAATAACACCCTTGGTTACTTAGCAATTCATGGATAAGTTCGTGTTATCAAACTTTGTCCATAATTTTAATAATTGTTCGCAAATTTTAAAAACTTATTCATAGACTCAAAAACTGTTTGTGTTTTCAAACAAATTCCGGATATCAAAGAATGCCTGTGTTTCAAACTTTGTTCAAAATTTCAGAACAAAGTCTCTATTTTCAGAAGAATGTAGACATTTTCAGAAACTGCTTGAGTTTTTATAAAATTAGAAATTTCAAAAGGTGTTTGGCATTTCCTAATTTTTTTTCTTCAGAATTTCAAAGATTCAAAAAAAATTAGGAGTTCAACAAATTGTTCAGAAATTTGAAAAGAAATCGCATTTGGAAAAATGTTCCCCTTTTTCATATATTGTTCACGCTTTCATAAGTCACTGCTATAGTAACCAGCTGCAATAATCAGGAGCTACAGTGGTCAAGCGCTCTGTGGCCCTTGCTTCAGTCCGCGCTCCAATGGGTCGGTGGCGCAACCGGGCTACCCTGTGTGAAGAGCCTCTATCGAACCCAACGCACGGCGTATAGGCAGTCCCGAACAAAGATGCTTTTCTTTCTTCCATTTGTATTGGGCTTTATTACTTTGGTTTCTCCTTTATCCAATGAACATACGCCCGCCAGCTTGTCAAGCAAGGTCCACCCCTACATGCAGTCAAACACTCCACCTTCGTTTCTGAAGTCACGATACCGATGGGGCGGGAGCGGCTATGTTTCACCTGTTGTGAGACCGAAGGAGGTCTCGCCTCAAGGGCGCCCTCCCGTTGCTACTATTGGGCAGACCCAAGTAGCTTCATGCAAGTTAATTTGTTTTTTGTATCTTTGTGCATACTTTTAAAAATATTCTAAAATTCAATTATTTAAAATGCAAGTTCGGACTGCTGTTGCGGATAGTTGTCGGATATTTGAAGTCGTGCTTAATTACGAAAAAATAACACTTGTCGTCGTTGCGTACCGTTTCTACATCGAAGGTCTCCTCCAGCTTAATGCTGAAGCGCCGATCTTTGTCCAGGTGAGGCCTGTCGCACTGACCTCGGTCGTCGTGGCACCAGTCACACTCCCCCGGGAGACTTTTGTCGTCCGAGTTAAATATATGTACTAAAAAACCTAAGTTAGATCATTATCATTCATCACGGGTTGACTATCGGTCTGTCGAGTCTTTTGTTGAAAACTCTCAGCTCACGTAGTGTATACATTCGTTCGTTGGTGATGGTCGCTCCTTCTTTCATCCTCGAGTGCATTACACCAAAATGTCTAGCACACGGGAATGAAGGAGAGAAGCGACCCCCACGACAACAGTCGGGATTCTTCGTCCTCTCATATATATATGGTGGAACTCTCCCTCACTGATTCCTCTCTGACATTTGCGACCGTCGGTGATGGTAGCTCCTCCTTTCGTTCCCGAGTGCATTACACCAAATTGTCTAGCACACAGGAACGAAGGAGAAGCTACCCCCACGACAACAATCGGGATTCTTCGTCCTCTCATATATGGTGGAGACTCGACAGACTTAAAGTCAACCCGAAATATCGTTTAATTATCTTTCTAAAAAAGGGTTTGGCTTGTCTCACCTCGAGGTCGAAGGGGGTCGGTGACGGGGACGACGGCGGGGATGATGGAGGGGCCGGGGCTCCTAGATTTCTGCGAAAACAAAAATCCTATAAGCTATCAACTAATCATATGCATACGCCTTGCATAGTGCTCTCCAATTTTAGCATTCAAAGTAGGACTAGTTTTCCAATTAGAGCATTCAATAAGCAAAATCAAATCGCAAAATAAAGTAGTATTCAAATTAGGATGCATTCAATTATAAGCAAAACTACATCATCTCGATGTGTCCGTACATCGTTGAATATTATCACTAATACACTTCGAATACTATCATACATATAACATCGCTAGTACAACTAGAACCGTAGTGCCCGACGGGTATCGGCGTGGGCGGTGGACACCCAAAGAGAAGGAACCATTACAGGATCGCTCCAGTGAGATCCCTGAAGAACCTGCCAGGTATTATCGAACCTGTCCTCCAACGCAACCATGTAGCGACGGACGTGCTCGTCCTCCTCGCTGACACGGTGACGTACCACCTCCGCGGTGTCCGGAAGCCTCGGCACCGTCACTGGCCCACGCGATCGCCATCAAACAAGGATCGGGTCAACGACGGGCTGGCTCCTCACCAACCTACGCCTTCCGGAAGGTAGCACCTTTCAAAACCAGCCCGGCAGCCCAGTCCCGGACATGGCCCCTCTGATCAAGCCGGCCTCCTCCGCCGAGTCGACGACGAGGATGCGGGATAGGCATCGTCGACGTCGATGTTTTGCTTGAATCGATCGTGTGTGCGCTATATGGCAAATGGTTGAGATAAACCATTTGTGTGCGATGATGTGGAGCATCGCACATGTTGCATAATATGTTCGCAATGTGCGAAGTTCCGCACGCGTTTTGTAAAGACAATTCGTGTAAGATAAAAACGAATTATGTGCGATGATGGGAAATGTAGCACATATCACACGGTTTGTTGTGATCAATTGTGTGTGATATTTGAAGTGTTGCACACAAATTGATAAGAATAATTGTGTGTCGTATCGTCGTGTTGTCTTCTTCTGCGTGCCGCCGCGATCTCGCCTGCTCCGTGCACATGCCTTGCATCCACGCGAGGCCGATGTCGCATATGTGCCCTCATTCTTTCCCAAACACTCCTCTCTTTCCCACATGTGTTAGCCTCGTTGTGCTATACCAAAAGGTCCTTACCGGTCGGCCACACCACTGATGGCCCTCGGCACTGCCAACCTCTCACCCACCCCCTCCCCACTCCCGCTTGCCACTACAAGAAAACAAAATAGCCGTGATATCTTTATCCTGAACGAAAATATTTTTTGTCATGAAAGTGACACTTCCAAGACGATACTAGTGATGAAAACACCTATTATCATGGACGGTGGGCACCTAATTCTATTAAATAAATGGTTATGACAGAAAATGAAATTTTGGTCCTGGGTGAGCCCGCGTCGTATCTGCACGATGTTCTTTGGTCCTTCTATGACATAAAAATATAGTGGTGGAAGTGGGGGCGAGATTTTTTCCAGTGATTTCTCGGGTGAGTTCTGCCTCGCGCGTATACGGTGGGTGGTCCGGCCCGAGCAAGATGCAGGGTCGTTTACACGATCTCATATGTGTGCGGACCTTTGCATTACTAAACATGAGCGATTGATGCGAGACTTGATAATCAATGCTCGTGTGTGGTAGTTGCAGGCTCTCGATCGATAGATTAATAACCCCGTTTGCGCGGTTGTACAGAAGAGGCTCTGATACGTCCATTTTGTATCATGATATCCTATTGTTATTGTTTTGAAGTTATATTCCACTTTATAATGCAATTGTAATGTATTTTCTCTCTTAAGATGCAAGATACACCGAAAATGGAAGATTGTCGGCAACTGAAATTTATGAAGAAGTATTTTGAAATATATAAATAATACTAGAGAAAAAGAAGTACCGGAGAATACCCTCCATGGGGCCACAAGCCAGGGGCACGCCTTGCTGACTTGTGGGCTCCATCGAGGCCCGCCGTTCGCCGGCGCCGCCCCACGCCGTTGTCGTTGAACCGACCAAAGCGAGACGGTTAATTTTTTGGTCGGTTCAACGGCAACGGCGAGCTCCTGGTCGGTTCAACGACCACTATGCAAGGTGTATGCATATGATTAGTTGATAGCTTATAGGGTTTTTGTTTTCGCAGAAATCTAGGAGCCCCTGGTCCCTCCATCATCCGCGCCGTCGTCCTTGTCACCGACCCCCTTCGACCTCGAGGTGAGACCAGCCAAATCCTCTTTTAGAAAGATAATTAAACGATATTTCGGGTTGACTTTAAGTCTGTCGAGTCTCCACCATATATGAGAGGACGAAGAATCCTGACTGTTGTCGTGGGGTACCTTTTCCTTCGTTCCTGTGTGCTAGACAATTTGGTGTAATGCACTCGGGAACGAAAGGAGGAGCTACCATCACCGACGGTCGCAAATGTCAGAGAGGAATCAGTGAGGGAAAGTTCCACCATATATATATGAGAGGACGAAGAATCCCGACTGTTGTCGTGGGGGTCGCTTCTCTCCTTCATTCTCGTGTGCTAGACATTTTGATGTAATGCACCCGGGGATGAAAGAAGGAGCGACCATCACCAACGGTCGAATGTATACACCACTGAGCTGAGAGTTTTCAACAAAAGACTCGACACACCAATAGT